GATTCCTAAACTCACGTGACAAAAACAAAAGTCAATTCTCCCCAAAGCATTGAGTGGCAGGGAGGTGTAAAATTCACACTAGCTGACCCCGACAAGGTCAACACCACTACTGTAGATGACCTGACCTTCTAAACCTTATCAACGAAAACTAAACTCTTAACTGTGACGTTCTAAATAACAATAAAAATAAACATAAACAAAACATTGATTTAGAATATCGGTAAAAATAAATAAATAAAGAGATTATATTCGTCAAACTTTATATTCCTAATTTATTGCCTCATGTATTGTCATGATCTGGATGTTTGTATTAATCTATTGTATTTGACTTCAACTCATTTGACTTTTCTCTGGGCCTTCTGACAGCGAGGAGGACGGGCATCAGCAGTAGTGAGGCTTGAATGATCAGTGGACTGAGGTAGGAGAGAGAGAGAGAGAGTGTGTTGTGATCTATCGCTTGAACGGTAGTGTCAGTGAAGGGAGACTGGTGGTGGTAGCTATCCGGTACCTTTTTCTTACCGCCCAGTACCTCCTCCTACCACCCAGTACCTCCACAACCTCGCACCTCCTCCGTCAGTAGCCTCAACCCCTTCACGCTACACATCCACTTATCAATGAAAGTAAAAACAACACATTTTCTTTGCGTCTTTTTAGTGTATCAATATATTATTATTTTTTCTTTTATTATATAGAAGCGTGGAAAACGAATGCTTAGGATTAATATGTATAACTATTAAAAATCCGGTCGGCGGGATTTCAGGGTATTTTGTATTTGTGTATTTTATTTTAAAGTCCCATTGGCGTTTAAATGTTTTGGTATTTTATTTGTTTATTTTTTTATCTCGAGTTTGTGAAGGATTATGGTTGTTGTATCAGTGTTGAAGGTAAGTGATGTAAATATTGCATTTGTATACTGTTGCACTTGGTGTTGTCTCTCGCTTAACCCGGGATGATAGGATTATATTAACGTGTTGGTGGTAATACACGATTATTATTATTATTATTATAATTATTATTATTATTATTATTATTATTATTATTATTATTATTGTTGTTGTTGTTGCTAATACCTGCGCGCGCACACACACACCGCCTGGGGAGGATGAAGCCAGATTAATGTTTGGCAGATGGGAAGACATTGAGGAAAAGTGAGTTACAGCGTGTGTGTGGGGGAGAGGAGAGAGATGGGGAGATTAGGGTTAGGATGAGGGGACAGGTTAATCAGTGAGTGGGGAGAGGGGAAGATATTGTTTATTATGTGTGGGGGAGAAGAATGGAGAGGTGGGGAGATGAGAGACAAGTGAGTGGAGGTGAGGGGAAAGAAAGTAGGGGAGGGTGGGGTGAGGGGTGAGAGGTGACGGGGGTGAAGGGCTGGGTGAAGTGTGGAGTGAACGGAAGGGGTGATGGGCTGGGGATGTTAGGTGAAGGGCTCGGGACGTGATAGGGTGTGAGTTGAGAGGTGAGGGGTGAAGGGGGGTGTATCTCAGGCTCCACAAGTCGGTGCCCGCCATTAAAGACGACGTTCCCAGGTGGTGCAGGCCATTAAGGTCGCGGGTGTGGCTCCTGTGTGGTGGTGTGGTGTTATGGTGAAGTGATGTGTTGTGGTGTTGAGGTGTTGTGTTGTGGCGTTGTAGGGTGTTATGTTATTAAGTCCGTTAGATATGACATCCGTTATATCGAGAGGTCCGTTATCTACTGTATATCACCAACAAAGATAACGTGAAGCCAAACTCTTAAAAAAAATCAATATCAAGAAATATTCTCATAACCTTCAAAGAATATATATATATATATATATATATATATATATATATATATATATATATATATATATATATATATATATATATATATATATATATTGACAACTAAAACCCCACCAAAACTTTATAAGAACAGACTAACCTAAAAAAAAAATAAAGTAAAACAAATAAAAAAAATAAAAATAAAAACGTAACCTAAATAAATAAATCAAAATACCGTAACCCCCAAAAATAATAAAAATCAAATACCGTGAGCAGTAGCCTATCCTGAGATGAAGTGAAGCCATTACAAGTACACAGAATAATCTCCCCAACGCTGTAAACTTCCACGAGATTTATGGCGCGCTATTCATGCCACCTGCCCCGACAACCAGCGCATAGGAAAGGTCGATTATTTGCAGGTATTCAGAGAGAGAGAGAGGAGGAGCTCGTTAAAGTAGAGAAAGGTAATATCAACACGAGGGGAAATGAACCTTTTTGTATACGAGGCAGTGGCTGAGTAGTATGGGGGGGGTGAGTGTGTGTGTGTGTGTGTGTGTGTGTGTGTGTGTGTGTGTGTGTGTGTGTGTGTGTGTGTGTAGGTGGAGGTGTGTGTTTGTGATATCCATGACTGTTCTGGGTGATGACGTCATGTGTTGTTGTCCAAAATCTTCATTCACGAGATGGGCGGCCGGCAGGTGGCGTCACTACATGTATTCGGGACTAATTGTACGTATCTTCTTGGCACCTTTTGAAGCTCACACGTCAACAATAAACCACAAGGTGTCATGTCCCAGTGGTGTGTAAACTGCCTTGAGACAGATTCATGGTTATACCTCTGATGCTCTTCTTTATGATATAATTGTTGCTTAATGTTGAACAAGTCGATCAATGATCCTAAGGTTCTATTGACAAGATCTTCAGTGGTTTTCATAGTTCGGATTCGTTGTCCTCCCTTGAACACTCTCCATCACTCTATGCTGTGTTTACATTCTCTCAATGAGGCTGGACCTGGGTCTTGTACACGTGAGTCAGTGGTAGTCGGCCCCGTCTTTATCGTTTACAACAGGTCACCTCACCCAGTGTTTTTATCCTTTTCTCTTTTAATTACCTCAATCTTCTTATTCTCGATCTTAATTATTAGGGTTTTTTTCTACTAATCTGCCAAGAGTCATCACCATATACTTGTCTGAGTGAAGATGGTGTCACTATATGATCCTGGTCAGTCTTAAGACATACACAATGGATTACACACTGTCAGCTAAGTCACAGTGGTAGGACTGGCTCTAACACTCTCTTTGGGATGCCAGTTAACACTACAACACCACCTGGACGAGGAATCATTAAAGTTAACTCACTACCGACCAGCAATCAACAATGTCAAGATCCTTAGACATGTTATTCCCACAATACAACAACTGCCGGGCCCACCAAGCAGTGTCGGTCAGGAATATTAATGAATGTTGTACGAGTCTGTGTCCATAAAGGTCACCTGTATGGTCCCTCTTGCCTCCATGTGTCTAAGACTCCCAGTGGCTGAGACCGGTACACAAGTCACTTATAAAACCAACAAAATATAAATGTTCAGCACTACAAAATTCTGGACAAAATATTTATAACGAATTTGGATGGGAGGGAATTACGGAGGTAGGCAGGTACTGACAAACGGACAGGTGGAAATCAATACGCTCCTGTGAATACGCAGTGAGGGCGTAAAAACGACTCCAGGAAATTCAGTGTTAAAGGGGCTGCGGGAGGGGTGACGAAGGGCTGTACATTATACTGACGGTGAGGAGGCTGGCTGAGGCAGACTAACATCGTCACCGCCTCCACTTCCTCAAATATCAACCGTTTTAAGACGTCGTCAAGAAAATAAACCATATACACTGTGTCTTACCTCCGCCGGGTGCCATAAATCGTAAAAATAAAGGTTTAATGAATTCACGTCAGGAGAGATTCACAAAAAACGTCATTATCAAATTTTAATGAGGTTTGGGTTCCTTAATGACGTCTTTTGATAACAACCTTGAAGATTGTCTAAGATAACTACCATTAGTTTTCTCAGGATACTAAATGATTCTGGATTATAACTTTACATATTTACATTAAGTTAGGTTAAATAAAGTTCGCGTCAGGTTTGCGTTAGGTTAGATACGGTTTGTATTGGATTAGGTAAGCGTTAGGTTGGTTAATAATGTTCAGGTAAAATAAGCTGACTGGGGCGAATTTTCAAAGTCTTCGCATTAATTCAGAACAGATGTATATGATTAGGGCCAGAATTCTTCAGTAAAAACCTGCCTGTTTCATGTTTTTTGGCCGTAATAGAACACATTAATATTTTCTTGACCTCACAACTACAGGTCAAAGGTCATTATACCGATACATTATTTATTTAACTTATCCTCAATACCCCAGGAACCCAAGAGGTTAACCACGTCTAGTCAGCAGTATATAGAAGAGTGAATCTACACACACACCTTTTCTGATATATATCCTAAATACATCACTATGAACTACAACCAAATACATCAGTCTAGTTCCTTCAGCAGCATATTCAGGAAGCAGGCAGCAGGTGATATATTATTCATTCTCATTTACATACAGACGTGTGGGATCCTACACTCACTTGTTGACATGTAAAACAACTCTTATTAAACAGCTGGACATTTTTTCTTACCTCCCAACTCTTAACACTTTGCGTGTGAATAATTTTCTTCATAGTTTCCCCTATATTATGGTGTTTTCTGTAAATATATAGAATAAGGGAACTATATGAAATGAATGGAGTTTCTAAGGCTTTTCTTTAACACTGAGGACATATTCTGATACTCACAATATATTAAGTTGTTTTGAATCATTGTTATTTTCTGATAATAAAATATTCCCCAAATAACTTAAATTTCCATAAAAAAAATACAACCAAGACCAAATAAATTTCATGTACCGGTGTATAAATATTTTCTAACATGCTAACGGAAATAACCTTCTTTCTATCACTCACTCTATCATGTTCTTGTATATAAATTTGTTCAGGTGTAATCAGTGAGGACCGATACAAAATCTACCCGCCAGGACTACTAAATATTTACACTTATATGGAATCACTACTAAATGAGGAGGAAAATCGAATTTGAACTTCCATCCCGATATTTTGACGAAAGTATCAGTGAAGTATAACTGAAAATTTCCTGAGAGAGAGAGAGAGAGAGAGAGAGAAGAGAAATAGGGAGAAGGGTTAGAGAGAGAGCACTACCTTACCTCTCACGGCTGGACCCATCTGCTGGCTAACCAATTCAACATGTGGGAGTAGCAGCCGAAGGGAGCAGAGTCACAGGGGCTAGCATGGGCGTCGGTGATGGGCGGCGGCGGTAAAACCCAATTGAGGTGGGCGTCGTGGTGGGCGGGGGGGGGAGATGGTCCTAGTTGACGTGGGCGACTTCCGGTTGACCTGTAGCCGGAACAGCAACACTGGGTTAGGTATGTGAATTATCAAGTACAGGTGACCTACTACAGAGGCTGTGTGTGACAAGATAAACGGGATAAATAAAATAAATGGATGATGGAAAATAAGAAAATATGACTTATTAACTATTTGTCTAAGAAAATATCTCAACCATCTGACTAATACAAAAATAATCTTAAATCACAATGTTAACGTAAATCCCACGGAGTAAATTTATTGCCATTATTAAGTAACGATTGTCACGTCAGTCAGTCCAAGTGTAAACAAAGAATCGAACTCCATCATAATCGTGTTTTCTGGTGACGTCTGATGCTCCTAGTGGAGATGTTTTCCCTTTAAAGTAGCCATAATTCAATTAACGCCACTAATTGCTTCACTTTATCACTTTAAATAATTTTACCTCAAATTTGATTTTTTTTTTCGTTTTTTTCCCAGTGCAAGAATTGTCATGTGATGATTCAATGTATTTTTTTTTAAGGAACTGGATGACCGGCCGCTGTGACGTGGCGATCACTGCACTTTTCAGCCCTAAGTATATTTTACCAGAGAGAGAGATCAAGAGGAAGGGAGACAGAGAGAGTAAATTAGGGAAGGAGTGTGAGTAAGCGAGGAAGGGAGAGGGACGCAGGAAGAGATGGAGAAAGGGAGAGGAAGAGAGAGAGAGAGAGAGGGGGAGGGAGGAAGAGAGAGAGAGAGGGGGAGGGAGGGAGGAAGTGAGAGGAACGCAGGGAGGGAGGGGGGGGAGAGGTGGACACACACAGGCTGGGTTCAGTGTCACTCTCCGATGCTCCGCCGCCTTTAGTGTGTTGACCTGAGAGGAGCGGCTGTGAGGACGAGGCTCTTACAGTAACACCCAACTCTTGGAATGAAACTGTGGGGCTAAGAGTGAAAAAATCTTTGGATGGAAACATAAAACAAATCTAAGGCTTATTCTCTCGTCAGAACTGACAGTCACACATATAGCTATCATAACTGACAGCTGATATCCACCCATGAAAGCTCCCTGTGTGATGCTGAGCTCACTTCAGGGTCAAGGCTTAATCCTGATTCGGGGACACGGACGAAGGTTAGGGTCAGGGCTTCAAAGTAAGGGATTATAAGCGTCCTGGGTCATTACTGAGTCATTACAGGACACAAACACACACACACACGTAAAAAAGTATCTATACCCTCATAAACTTAACATAACTCCTAAGTACCCACAATTACACCATCATTTTCATCAGTTTTCACAATCACGTCTCTCTCTCTCTCTCTCTCTCTCTCTCTCTCTCTCTCTCTCTCTCTGTATCTCATCACTACCACATTTATCCATCAGTTAAAGTCAATGAAAAGAAGAGAGGAAAGAGGATAACAAAATTTCCTCAACATTCCATCGTCTTGCGGGAACTTCTCTGGCGTGTCGTGGATTACCTGGAGTGTCTTGCATCACACTCAAGGGCCTTTTCTTTTAATTGAGTTTTTTTCGTTTAGGTTGACCTTTCTCTTCTTTTTCTTTTTTAGCTTGCCCTTTCTCTCCTCTCTTTCTCTTCTAATATGCCTCTTCTTTTCACTTCAACAGAGCAAGAGTTTAAATGCTATTGTAAACATTTTATGTGCGTGTTTTTACCTGTGTGTGTGTGTGTTTAGGTATGTGTGTAGTTGTGTTTCGTGTGTTGATATGTGTGTGTGTGTGTATATATATATATATATATATATGTATGTAAACGGTCGGAATAATATGTGTGTGTGTGTGTGTGTGTGTATGTATGTGTGTAAAGAAAACACACATATATACGACTACCTAAAGAAGACAACCCAGGTTGACTCAGGCAGCCTAACCCATGATGACCGGGGGAAGGAAATGACTTAAACCAACTCAGGAGGAAGATTCTCTCCTGGTGGTGGGACTAAACCTTATTATGCCCGGTGTTAAGAGCTTCTTCCTCCAATAACACGGCGGGGGACAGCGTCTTTACCATTACGTGTTATGGTTTCAGTGGAGGTTAGTTTACTGAAATGGCTTTAATTCTGCGCTTGAAGATAATGTTATGGTTTCGGTATTAAGCTTGTCCTTTTGAATTATTAAGCATATTCTGTTTATTTTGAGCAAGGAAAATGAACAGCAAACAAGGAAAGTTCAATATTAAACTTATTCTGTTTTCTCTGTGCAAGGAAAATCTGAAATTCCTTTTAGATTCAGAGGGGGGGGGGGGTCAATTTCCCCCAGCACTCGCTCGCCTCGTGGCTTTATAGGAAACATGTGGCAAAAATGAATCGGTCCAGCAACATATTGGGTAATACTGGGCGAGTGGAGGGAAGACGGGGAGGGAAGGAGGTGAAGGAAAGAAGAAGGCAAGGAGAGAGGAAAGAGAATGGATAAAGATGAAATGATAGGAAATAACAGAAAGAGAAACCGAAGGAAGGAAGAACAGAGAGTAAACATTAGACCATATATATAAGGAGGAAGCTAAAGGAGAATAGGAAAACGGAAGGAGAGGAGACAGAAAGAAGGAAGAGAGAAGTGGAAGGAGAAGAAAGACAGACAATGAAGAGAAGAAGAAGAAGAACGTGAGCAAGAAGACGAAAGAAACATCAAAATAACATTAGTTGGTAATTAGGCTTTTGAATCGGTCTTTAATTAATATCAAAGGTCACAGGAAATAAATCGAAAACAGACAGGTGTGTGGTGGTAGGAGGGAGGAGACAGGTGTGTGGGGGTAGGAGGGAGGAGACAGGTGTGTGGGGGTAGGACAGACAGGTGTGTGGGGTAGGAGGGAGGGAGACAGGTGTGTGGGGGTAGTCGAGGGACAGACAGGTGTGTGGGGTAGGAAGACAGACAGGTATGTGGGGGTAGGGGAGGACAGACAGGTGTGTGTGGGGGTGGGAGGACAGACAGGTGTTTGGGGGTGGGGAGAGGAGACAGGTGTGTGGTGGTAGGGAGGAGGAGACAGGTGTGTGGGGGTAGTCGAGGACAGACAGGTATGTGGGGGTAGAGGGAGGACAGACAGGTGGGGTAGGGGAGGACAGAGTGTGTGGTTGGAGGACAGACAGTGTGTGTGGGGGTAGGGAGAGGACAGACAGGTGTTTGTAGGGGGAGAGGACAGACAGTGTGTGGTGGTAGGACAGACAGAGGTGTTTGGGGGTAAGGAGGACAGACAGGTGTGTGGTGGTTGGAGGACAGACAGGTGTGTGGGGGTAGGGGAAGGACAGACAGGTGTGTGGTGGCAGGGGAAGATACAGGTGTGTAGAGTAGGTAAAAAAGAGTCAATTGTCCACTCAAACTCTAGAGACTAAGCAGTTTCAAAAAATACAATAAATAAATAAATTAATAATTACACAAGACTGGCGCCTTCATCTCAACAAGATCATCAGTATTCCTTTAATAAAACAATAACAAAAGGAGTAATACCGGATCATCTAAAGTTCACTATTATGACTTCTACCATGAAACAGGAACGCCAGGAAAGTCATCGTCATTAATCGAGGAAATAATGACATTTTTTAATAAGAGAGAGAGAGAGAGGACAGGAAGGACTAACTGACTGACCCAAGCATCCAGACTGTCAAAGGATTCGTATACACCAAAATACATCTTCAGGAAGTCGCAACACAGGAAGAAAACGCAACTCAATTCCCAACTTATAACTAACGCAATTATCCCAATACCCGTCAACGAAAATACCCCTCCGCTATTGACATCTAATTCCACTAAGACTGTTCCGTCAGTAGGTGTGTTTGTCTTATCCTTAATTACCGGGATGAGGAGGAGAAGAGGAGAATGAGTGAAGCTTTAAGAAGAGCCTGAGGTGGGAGGTAGATGTGGGCGACGCTGGGAGTCTGTCTGGCCACAAGAACATGAAGAATGACTCGAGGCAGAAAGTCGATAGTGTGTATTGTGTGATGGTGATGGTGGGGGGGTATAGAGTAAGACTGTGTGGTGGTGGTGGTGGGGGGTATAGAGTAAGACTGTGTGGTGGTGGTGGTGATTGGTGGGGGTATAGAGTAAGACTGTGTGGTGGTGGTGGTGGTGGTGGGGGGTTATAGAGTAAGACGTGTGGTGGTGGTGGTGGATGGTGGGGGTATAGAGTAAGACTGTGGTGGTGGTGGTGGTGGTGGGGTTATAGAGTAAGACTGTGTGGTGGTGGTGGTGATGGTGAAGGTGTGTGGTGGTGGTGATGGTGGGGGGTATAGAGTAAGACTGTGTGGTGGTGGTGGTGATGGTGGGGGTTATAGGTAAGACTGTGTGGTGGTGGTGGTGGTGGTGGGGGTTATAGAGTAAGACTGTGTGTGGTGGTGGTGATGGTGGGGTATAGAGTAGACTGTGTGGTGGTGGTGGTGGTGGTGGGGGTTATAGAGTAAGACTGTGTGGTGGTGGTGGTGATGGTGGGGGTATAAGTAGACTGTGTGGTGGTGGGTGATGGTGGGGGTATAGAGTAAGACTGTGTGGTGGTGGTGGTGATGGTGGGGGGTATAGAGTAAGACTGTGTGTGGTGGTGGTGGGGGTAGAGTAAGACTGTGTGGTGGTGGTGGTGATGGTGGGGGTATAGAGTAAGACTGTGTGGTGTGGTGGTGGTGATGGTGGGGGTATAGAGTAAGACTGTGGTGGTGGTGGTGGTGGTGGTTATAGAGTAAGACTGGTGTGGTGGTGATGGTGGGGGTATAGAGTAAGACTGTGGTGGTGGTGTGGGTGGTGGGGGTTATAGAGTAAAGACTATGGTGGTGGTGGTGGTGATGGTGGGGGGTATAGAGTAAGACTGTGTGGTGGTGGTGGTGGTGGTGGGGGGGGTTATAGAGTAAGAACTGTGTGGTGGTGGTGGTGGTGGTGGTGGGGGTTATAGGGAGACTGTGTGGTGGTGGTGGTGGTGGTGGGGGGTATAGAGTAAGACTGTGTGGTGGTGGTGGTGGTGGTGGGGGTTATAGAGTAAGACTGTGTGGTGGTGGTGGTGGTGGGGGTTATAGAGTAAGACTGTGTGGTGGTGGTGGTGATGGTGGGGGTATAGAGT